ACACACATACACACACACACGCACGCACGCACGCACGCACGCACGCACGCACGCACGCACACACACACACACACACACGCGCGCGCGCGGAATGAAACATCCCTCCCGAAACACACACACACACACACACACACGCGCGCGCGCGCACACGCACGCGCACGCAGACACGCACACGCACGCACGCACGCACGCACGCACACAGACACAAACACACACACACACACAGACACACGCACACACACACACAGCCACACAAACACACACGCACACAAGCAAACAAGCACGCAGGACAACAAGACACGACAAAACACGACAACACACACCTACACAACATACCGCACCCAGGCCCCGACCCACGCCAACACACACACACACACACACACACACACACACACACACACACACACACACACACACACACACACACACACACACACACACACACACACACACACGCATGCACGCACGCACACACACACACACACACTCTCTCTCTCTCATACACACGCACACACGCCAACACACGCGCCCGCGCCTCCGCCCACATTCACACACGCCCACCCACGCCCACGCCCACGCCCACGCTCACGCCAACGCTCGCGCCCGCGCACGCGCCAACACCCACTCCCACACCCACGCCCACACCCAGACCCAGACCCAGACCCAGACCCACACACACACACACACACACACACACACACACACACACACACACGCACCCACACATCCACACCCAGACCAAAACCCACACCTACACCCACACCCACACCCACGCATGCGCCCGCGCCCACACCCACGCCTACGCCTGCACCCGCGCCCACGCCCGCGCGCAAACACATAATCACACACACACACACCCACGCCCATTCCCACCTACGCCCACGCCCGCGACCACGCCCATGCCAACGCCCGCGCCCCCCCATGCTCACGCGCCCACGCGCCCGCGCCCACGCGCCCACGCGCTCGCGCGCCCATGTGCCCACGCGCCCACGCGCCCGCACGCCCCCGCGCCCGCGCGCCTACGCGCTCGCGCGCCCGCGCGTCCGCGCGCCCACGCGACTGTGGGCGCGTGCCCACGCGCCCGCGCGCCCGCGCACCCACGCACCTATGTGCCCACGCACCCGCGCGCCCGCGCACCCACGCGCCCGCGCGCCCACGCGGCCCCACGCGGCCCCACGCACCCACGCGCCCACGCACCCACGCGCCCGCGCCCACGCCCCCGCGCGCCAACGCGCCCCCGCACATCCAGACACCCACGCGGCCGCGCACAAGCGCGGCAACGTACCCGGGCACTCGCGCTCCAGCGCAGCCACGCACCCACGCGCCGACGCGCCCACGCATCCACGCACGCACGCGCACCCACATCCTCAAGCCCCCACGCAGTCAAGCACCCGCACCCGCGCACCCACGCACCAGCACACGCACGCACCCACGCACCCACGCACGCACACCCACACGCGCCCACGCACGCCCCCGCGCGCCACCGCACGCCCCCACGCGCCGCCACCCCACGCGACCCCGCGCGTCGCCCGCGCGCGTTTCCCCAGGCGCCCCCGCGCGCCCCCACGCGCGCCCACGCGCACACGCGCCCCTACGCACACCCCTACCACGCCACGCACGCTCGCCCATGCACCCAAACAAACCCACACCATCACACACACCCATAAACCCTGACACGCACGCACGCACATCCACACACACACACACATACACGCACCAGCACGCACCCCTACGCACCCCCACACACCCCCACGCACCCCCAAACGCCCCTAGACCCCCACGCGCACCCGCACATACCCCTAACAAGTCCTCACGCAACCCGCGCCACCCCCCCCCGCTCACACACGCGCGCGCACGCACGCGCGCCCACATGCCCCCACACCACGCACCCGCGCGCGCCCAAGCGCCCCGACGCCCCCGCCCACGCCCCTACGCACCCCCGCACGCCCCCACGCAACCCCAACACGCCCCCACACGCCCCGCGCCCACCCACCCGCCCCCCCCACACACCCCCACACACCCCGCACACCCCCACGCATCCCCACGAGCCCCCACGCCCCGCGCGCGACCCCCCGCCATCCACGCGCGCCCGCACCGCCCCCGCGCGCCCGCGCCCCCCCACTCACCCCCGCGCCCCCGCGCACAACCAAGTGCGCTCACGCGCCCCAGCGCGCCCGCGCATCCCCGCGCGCGCCCTCGCACCCCCACGCGAACCGACGCCAAGATTTGTCGTGCAGGGTCCACAACTGTTCATAATCGCCAGCCGCAGCGCTGCGATGTCAGACACCAGACGCATCGCTTCTTTTGGGCTTATCGGCCAGCGAGGGCTTTCTGAAAGGTCTCCGGCTATATTCTGGAGTGCTTGCAAACGCGCACTTGCTGACGCCATAATTATCATATTTGTCGGAGTTGCAGGGCGGCCGGCGTGCGCGTGTCCTTCCCTTGCCCCTGCCCATGGCGTGGATCTTGGGCCGAAACAAATCCGGGCACTTCGCGTTCTGCGACCGGGGCGCTGCCGCGCCCTGTCAGCAGCAACGCGCGGCCAGGAGGCGGCGCCGCCGCGCGCCCCTTGGCACGAAAATTCGAGGCCGC